CAAATTCTCCAATGAATCAAGTTGTCCTAATTAAAAATCATTGTTGAACTTGATGTTCCAAACTATGCTTAAAGCCATGTCTGTTGATACAGAGAGAGATTTAGACAAGACAATTTAATGAAAATTTAGACGATTGTTGATATTAAGGATGTATGCATCTGTAATGAAAGGTTGGGGATTGACTACTTTTTAATTTTTTTAGTTCCACTTGCTATTGAAGCAATAGATTGAAGGCTAATAGTGCAAATTTTCCAATAAATAACTAATAATCTAAATTGTACCAGAAAGTCGAAAACTTCATGAAGGAACATATAGACATTGTGACCTCCAATGTACGACACAAAAAATAGCATCAATAACTATCAATACCGTTTAATTTTATCACTATTGCTTTTGTGTAGATAATATTGAGTCAAATAGAGCCAATAACGAACGAACAATTGTTGGCGGTATATAGATTACGGCAATTGACACAAGAGGATGAAGAAGCCATCTCTCAGGGACTGGAATCACTGAATCAATCACTGTCGAACACCGTTTCCTCGGATCAATTGAATCTCTCACCAACATAAAGGGAAAATTGGTGCATTGGTCTCCAACATTTTGTCCTAGTAGCAATCAACCTTTCACTCTATTTCCACAGTCAGTCCAATGAAAGAAAGCATTTGAATCTCCATTAAATCAACAAGTGCCCTCATGTAAACACGTCTCACTCCAAGTTTCGGACATTGCTCCAAGTTGAGAAACAAAATTCAGCTTCATAAAGTAGAACATTTGAGGTATACATGACGATTTAATAAAGATTAAGATAGTTTCTGTTGTTGAGGACTCATTGTGCAATATAGTGGAAGGTTGAGAACCAAGGTTGGGACCAACAATGCAATGTTTTGAAAACAAAATCCTCATCAGTTAGTTATGATAGCAAATCAGCAGTGTAAATCTCCTATAAACAAATGCAATAATTGAATCCTCAAAAGTAACTAGAGTATTTTAAAGAATTGTTTGCAGACATGAAATTATAAAAATAGGTAAAAAACAGTAACCAAAACAATGTTGTAAAGTTCAAACTATACGAGATCAGAGCAAATCCACTTCAAACAAAGACCTCTTGTAAAGCAAGCGTATGTTTAAGTGTAAAGTTCTATCCCCAAATAAAAATCAAACATTTAAAAAGCATAACACTAAGCAAGAAGTACATGCACCCTTCATTAATTGAAAAGTTAACCACTTAACCATCAAAGAGTCTTGTACAAAGCTGGCAATGACTACGGCGAAGAAAACTATATAAAACCTAGCTTGCAAATCTGAGCCGTCTTCTCGGCTTCAAGAACTCTAAAAACTTTGATGACATCAATAAGATGCTGACGTATCAAGTATCTATAATGCAAATGGAAAAACTGAACAGGGTTAATGTTCAATCTCATGTAACATAGATCCATAGGGAAACATCTAGCGCGCAAAAACAAGAGGATTGGACGTTGATAAGAATTAGTAAAACTTGCACGGAATTCAAAGGAAAAATGAACTGCAACCTAGGCTGCATTATAGTGATATAAAGAAAATTATGAATCGAAATAATTTTGAGTATATTACATAATTTACAAGCAAATGTAATCGGCCAACTTAGGGAAATAAACTGTTTGTTAAGGATCACTAATTGCCAATGATCCTATTTGATTCCTTCTGAATTGTGTAAGTGACAAGAATCTTAAGTCATACAATCAAGATCTTCAACAATCCCTCACAATTTGGATCAACCTAGCTTTGCTTATTAATTCTTGACACATATTTTCTTGGAAAGTCCTTCATAAGAACATTCACCAATGGTATTTCTGAAGGGATGCATGACATAAAAAATTGACCACCTCTCTAATTTTTCCTTAATGAAGTGCCTATATGTCTCCACATGTTTAGTGCAATCATGCTAAATATGGTTGAAAGATGTTGATTGTTGCCTTGTTATAACAAATACAGTCTCGTTAAGCACCCTGAATTCTTCATTACACACTTAAGCCACACAGTTCATAAATACTCAATGCCATCGATCAATATTCTACTTCTGCACTTGGCCTTGCCACTACATGTTTCTTACTACTCCAACTTACTAGGTTGCCCGTTACCAAAATAAAGGTGCAATATCCAAAAACTTACTAGGTTAACCATAACTAAGAAGACATGTTCTCCATTAGTCAATGAACAACTTCAAAACAAATATGTTTGGGAACTCCATTTTAAACATCAAGGCTTAAGCTACTTCTTCCTCCAGATGCCCAATTTTGTGGATCTGTATCCATCGAAAAACATGAACTAATAATCTTTTTCCAAATAGGTTCCCAAAATACTTTTAGAGTATTCTTGATTTCTTTCCCGTCACCTGTTCTCAAGGTATAAATCTTTGTTTTGATTTTGTTTGGGTCATTTGTAGAAGGTTGAAAATTTTAGTCACCTCGGTTTTCTTTCTAAAGCTCCGTCCAATTTATACAGTTACCAGCATGTATAAATGTAACAAACCATCAAGTATTGAAAATAGAACACATTTAATAAGAAAGAATGACTCACTTTAGCATTAACTTGGAATGCAGTATATATGTATGATGATGTTTAGATTCTGTGCTCTGTGCAAGCTCTAAAGTTCGTAGTCATACATTCATGATCTTCAGCAAACACCATTAAAAATCCTTAATCTTTACTTCTACGTTTTCAGTGTAATGTAAACCAACCACAACATCAAAAAGCAACATTTGGTAATTTATAACCTGCTCTCCATTTGAGAAGAATTTATGAACGGTTTAATTTATTAGTTAATAGAAATGAACGATAGATGAGTGAACATAAAAATGGAATCACTTCCTATGGATTCGTTGAGAATGTCATGTATTCTTTTTGGTCTTGTGCCCAGTGAATGGTACTTTGAACTCTAATCCAATCCCTTGTGGTCCATTCCAATATGTGGTTGAAAATGAAATTTTTATAAATTACTTAGAAATTTAGCCAAATGGAGGCTTCATAACACCAGAATTTAGTTAATCCCGCGCTTGACAACATAAAATCATTTGTAAGAGTCTTTTTCCGTCCTCCTGGATAAAATCACCAGAATACAGCGTGACAGAAACTTACTTCTTCACATTATAGTATGCAGGAAGCAGTGTCATCAGGAACATGAACCAATGTCCTGTTACGAGAAATAGAATTACAGCATTTATGCGAGATGCTAGTTCATATGGGTTCAAATAGTCAGCCTCCAAATCTGACAAACATATAAGCTACAAAAAGCCAACGACAATTTTCAGATTCACGCAAATGCTGAGCCACAGTACTTGATGCACTAATCATATACTAAACAACAACCACGGTAGAGATATTTCCAAACATCTAAAAATATATAAATTAAAGTTTGTCAAAGTGGGATCTTAATCTAAGCAGAGGAACGAACGAACGAAATACAGAAAATGGATAATTCTCAAAATCTTTTATTTAAAAACTCAATAGAAAATAGACATCAAACAAACATTACATCCCACTTAATATTATTATTATTATTATTATTATTCTTCATGGAGCTGCTTCTTCCACGTCTTCTGAGACGTAATCTGGGTCTTCAACCCATTCTTCTGATTCTGAATCAATCTCAGTGTTGCATATTTTGCACAAAACCCAATCCTTCTCCAACTGCAAGATGTGAAAATAGAGTAATTTATAAACTCTTTCAGAACCAATTCACTGCACACCTCATTCTCAACTCCATTTGAAAAAAAGTAAAATAGGTACCTTAGTTTGTCCTTCAACATGACTGTATTTCGGAGGCAGAGGATCAATAGCTCTAAATTCATGCATAATCAGGGGCGAATCCAGCCCTGAAGTTCAGCACGAGCGGCCGACGATCATTGACTGTTGACCGCAACGATGTGAATGACGATATTGATTATTAATTTTTAATTAAATAATATTAAAAATTGTTAGATTAATATATAAATACACTAAAACATAGGAATGATATAATATGAAAATATAATCTAATACAACCCAAAAGAAAAATAAGTAATACAACTTCACTTCGTAACTGTATGCTCAGATAATTGGAATCTCTGTGGTATCATATTTTGAAAGCACTACAAGATTGTCTCATTATCAATTTTTTAAAAAACGTATTGCTTAATGTACACTACCAAATTGTCATTCAACCAAGGCATCCCCCTCCCCCATTTTGTTTCGCAAGAACAAATTCCCCAATTAACAAATTTTCAATTCTCTAAATTTACCAATTAACTAATTCACAATTTCCCTAATTCAAAAATTCACAAAATTTTCTACTTCATAAATTAGTTAAAGATAAATATTGAAATAAAATAAAAAAGCAATAAATTAAAGTAAGTCAACTAATTAAATATATTAAATTCTGCTAGAAAAAATAGTGTTTACCAAATGACGTTGTGATCAATTTTTTATAATTCAAAGGAAAAATCATGGGTTTGAAAATTTACAATTACAATTACATTAAATCAAATCCAACCTAATATATATTTGTTTGCTAAATGTAGTGTCAATATTAAGAAGTGCCATAGCGGTTAGGTGTTCTCTTACCTAGTGCAAGGTCCCGGGTTCGAATCACATCCAACTCCCTAACTATTGCATTAATTTTATTAAAAATAGTAGAACTAAAAATATTTTCAAACAAATAGGTTGGTTGGGTTTCGAACCTGGGACCTAAAACATAAAAAAACGACTTCTTACCAACTGAGCTACAAAGTATATTTGAAAAAAATTGAATTCCAGTAATATAATCTTAAGCATTTATCAATTGTTAAAAAAAAAAAAAAAAATTTTGCTCCGGCGGATCCAGCACGGGCGGCCGCGGGGACTGGCCAGGTGCTGGATCCGCCCCTATCATAATCCAACATGTCTTAGTACTGCTTTCAGGTTTTCCCTTGTAGAATTGAAACGTCTTTCGAAATCCAACAATTTCACCATTTTCTTTGACGTTTTCATCGTCTCCTTCTACTTGCCAATACCCATCAATTGTAGATAAACTTATTTTCTCGTTTTGGCATTTTTCATCCCTTAATGTAAACAAGTACAAAATTTTCTTTATAGTCTGCCCATATTCATCTGGGAATCAAATAAAAAAAATATTAGTTTCCTGACATCCTACAAGCCTTGTATAATAACAGAAAATTTGAGATGGAAAAAAAACAATTGTACCAGAAACAATTTTTCAAGAAACAATGAAGAACAAAATATACATGAAAGGAAGAAGAGAAGATTTCACCAGCAAGTTTCTCCGGATCGATCTTGTATATATTAGCAAGTTTAATCCAATGGAGAGGCATCTTCTGGTTCTTGATTTTGTTGATCAAGTAACCTACAATAATTTGATTGTCAGTAGGGTGGAAAACAAAATCAGGACCGACTATCCTATAGTAATCATCATAATAAAGTTTTTCATGCGTATAATCCTCAGGTTGATATTTTCCGATGGTTACAGATTTTCCGATGGTTATAGACTGCATCGTAAAATCCTAGATCTGGAAATCGGTTGTGAATGAAATAAAGGATTGGAGGTTTCTGAGTCTTCGTAGGGAGGAAGATTTGGGTTTATGTAAGTGTGGAAAGTGTAAGGTAAAAGTGAAAGTGTAACGTAAGTGTAACGTAAAAGTGAAAGTGTAACGTAAAAGTGAAAGTGTGTAAGGTAAGTGAAGTGTAAGAGAGGAAGGCTATTTTGAAGGGAAAAAACACGAAGATACTTTTAATTAATTTAAGGGGAAAACTGCAAATTTAGTCCTCAATGTGGATACTCATTAGCAAATCAGTCCAACAAACTATTTTCTTGGAATCGTCTAATTTTTTATTAAATAGATAACTTTTTTTTTTTTAATAAAAAGGCAGTTTTACTTTTAAGTACTTCGAAATGAGAGAAAATTATCTCACTTTTCTCTTTATTAATTTCTCAAAAAACTTTCTTTCTTTTTTTTGACGAAAATTGTTATTAGAGACTTAACATTCTAAATCAATAAAAGGTCGAAAACAAGAATGCTAGTTAAAATGTAATGGGATAAAAAAATTAGAATTTAAAAATAATTTAAGTCTGATTGAAGGTGTTGAATCTAGTGAAAAACTTCAATAAAAACATTTTATGGTGATGATTCTGTTTCAGGGCGTGGTGTTGCCCTGTTTAATAATTGTTGATTTATTTTGTGATTTTGTTGCTTGCGTCAATAAATCAAGCAAATTTTGGGATCCGAGATAATTTTGATTAGCAATGCTTGAATTCATTTATTCTAGTTCGATTTTGTGAAAGAGATTGAAAATTTTTGTTGTTGAAGAATTTGGTTAATGTTCTTGCTGAAGAGTCAGATTTTGCCTTGTAGTGAAAATTGTCTCCAGGTGGAGATTTGTTAAAGTTTGACCCAAATTCGGTTAGATTTTTGGGAAAAATATTTATTTATTCTACACTTTTGTTTTTATACTATTTCCATTGTTAAGAATATGTCTATCTATATATGGTTGGCTCTTCTTTACAAATTAGATATATTACACAAGTTAGATAATAATTTATATATCATGGCAAATCTGTGGCATTTTTTTGTTTACAGAGTTAATGGAAGTAAAAAAATCGACTAAATTCAAATAACATAATTAATTTTTGAAAAATAAATATTTATAAAATTTAAACAAACTTCACTGAGGTTAATAACCTAATTTTGACAAATTAAATATTTATATAAAAAATTTAAAGATAACTTTACTTGTCAGGTCTAATGGCATGTTCGGTATAGCTTAAAATTCAATTAAAATTGAAAATATGGCTGTTATTGTGTCCCACTCGTCTAATAAAAGTCAACAATAACGGCTAGTTTTTCAATTTTAATCCAATTTTAATCTCTACCGAACACGCCCTAAGACTGGCATAGGATAGGCTCCTAAAATTACACGTCTTTTTATTTTTTACATTTTTTTAAAGTTAAATAAAATACATCGTTCAATATTTAGGCCCTGTTTGGTTCACATTATTTTTTTATTCTCATTCTTGTACTCATTTTCAACCACACATTCTTCAATAAAATAATATTTTTCATCACATCAATAACTTTTCCTTCTTTTTCAACCACATATTCACCATCGCATCACAAAAAAAGTATTCTTTCCATTTTAATGATCTATGGCCCTGTTTGGTCCACATTATTTTTTCATTCTCATTCTTCTACTTATTTTCAACCAAACATTCTTAAATAAAATAATATTTTTCATCACATCAATAATTTTTCTTTCTTTTTCAACTATATATTCTCCATCACATCAACAGTAAAAATACATTCTTACTTTCAAAATGTGCACCAAACGGGGGCTTAGTAATGTAACTTTAATAATAATAATAATATTTAAAAAATACATCCTTTGGAGTTTCGAGCAAGATTCTAAATAGCATAATAAACCAAAAAGGAAGCTTCAAGCCTAAACGTGCATAGATGAAGTTGAACGTAGTAAGACATTTTCATATTTTATTATTATTTTAATCATTTTAAGATTATTAATGATTCTTCATTTTAGCTCATGTTTGGTTCATATTATTTTTTTCATTCTCATTTTTTTACTCATTTTTAGCCATAAATTTTTCAATAAAATAATATTTTCTATCACATCAATAATTTTTCTTTTTTTTTCAACCTCATATTCCCATTACATCATAAAAAAATGCACTCTTAATTTCATAATGTACACCAAAATTTGTTCAAAAATATACTTTTGGGGTTAATGGTGTAATAAAGTGTACAAAGTAACTGTGACTGTCAGACATATGGAAATGTAAGACTGTAAGTACACTTCCTTTTACTTTTCATTTTCGTTTTCGCTTTCGTTATCGTTACTTCTTCTTCCTTTTCCTTAGTTTTCTTCACGGTTTCATTTATTTTCTGGTTTTCCAACTGTAGTTCCTTTTTTTTTTTGTTCCTATTGTTCATCGCTTGAATCATATTTGACAATGACAAATCCGGCAAACAGTGGCCCGGCATGGGATTTGGTAATCAATAGCCCTTATCTGTTGATTGCCAATCCACTTTACAATACTCATAACCATCCCAATCCTACAAATAATTTTGGGTCTAGTTTGAATGGAGCTGGACATACTACCAATCTGAATGAGGATTCCCGTGTCAACTTAGATGAACATGTTTCCAATCTCAATGTCCCTGATGCTAGACATGCTTCCGGCCCCGAAAGTAGTGGTGCCATGTGCGAGGTTCTGGGAAGCTGGAATAACTTTCTGCTCGAGAGTCCGGTTGTTGGGGACCCTTCAATGGAACTCGTTGAAAATGTGGGGAACGCTCCCACGGTCATTCATGACGTTCTGCCTGAGAATCCCACGGTGGTGGTCCCTGAAAATATCCCTCCCATTGCCCCTGCTGTGGATGCTGGAAATGGGATGCCGCCCATATTTAACCCCAACGATAGAAGGTTGGCGATTCAATTTTTGGCCAAGAGACTCAGAAACGAGCCTCTCGAGGAAAATTGTTTCCATGAAATCAATTTCTATGACTTTCCACACCTAGCAGGTACCAATAATATTAATGTAATTGTATTTGCTATGATCCTTTGAAAAATTCGCCTCAACAAAGTCAGATACGACTTGCTCGTAATGCTATTTTGCTTAGTAGTGCTACATAAAATTCTAGCACCTGGACTGGAGATTACTTTGAATAAAATGAAAAGCTACTTTACAATGGCAATTTCGTCTGTTTCTTCATATGTATTAGGATAGGTCATTACCCAATGGAAATAACTGTTCTGATTTTCAACACATTCATGCATTCTCAATAGCACTGCAATAGCCATTAGAGGCTGAAAATTGTTTACAGACTATGGAGAAAATGTTTTCATATGCACACGTACCTGGTGGAGAATAAGTAACACGTGCTATATTCATGCTAAGAGAGAGAATGCAGGACATTGGTGGGACTCAGTAGTAGCAATGAGTCAAGCTGATAATATGAATTGGAATAGCTTTTGTGAGACATTTAGGATCAATTATTTTTCACAAACAGATCAAAATCGGAAGGTGAGTGAGTTTATCAAATTAAGACAAGGATCAATTACAGTCATAGATTATATTAAGAAATTCGACAATTTGTCAAGGTTTGCTAGCCACATGGTTCGAACGACCAAGTTAAGGGTAAATCGTTTTGTTCATGGTTTAGACCAGAGTTGAGTAGAGATGTATTAATGTCAGGAATTCAGGATACAAGTTTTGCTTATATAGCATATAAAGCTTTAATGGCAGAGCAAGTTGAGAATAAGATTTTACATACTCGAGGATTTTTTTAATAAAAAGGACCCTACAACTAGTGGAACTTTGAGTCCAAAATGATGGAATGAGAAGAAGTGGAAAGGAAATATGAGATCAACAAAACCATACATCAAGAAAGCAGAAGTGGTGAATAATAAAATAGAAGGTCGAGAAATACCTGGATGTGTTAAGTGCTATAAGAACCATTTTGGTGAATGTTATACCGGACAGATTTTACTGTGAAAAGCCAATACATATGATACTTGAATGTCCCAATAGGAAGAAAGATGAGGGAGGAGCTAGGATCTTAGCTATGGTTAGACCCGAAGTTCAAGAAGACAACCAAGTAGTGGCAGGAATGATTTTTATTATATCCAAACTATTAGTTCCCATGCATATACAAAAAGAGTCAATAAGATCTTACTATACATACAAACTTTTTTTTTATAAATAATTTGCTACTACTGAGTCTCACCAATGTCCTGCATTCTCTCTCTTAGCATGAATATAGCACGTGTTACTTATTCTCCACCAGGTACGTGTGCATATGAAAACATTTTCTCCATAGTCTGTAAACAATTTTCAGCCTCTAATGGCTATTGCAGTGCTATTGAGAATGCATGAATGTGTTGAAAATCAGAACAGTTATTTCCATTGGGTAATGACCTATCCTAATACATATGAAGAAACAGACGAAATTGCCATTGTAAAGTAGCTTTTCATTTTATTCAAAGTAATCTCCAGTCCAGGTGCTAGAATTTTATGTTGCACTACTAAGCAAAATAGCATTACGAGCAAGTCGTATCTGACTTTGTTGAGGCGAATTTTTCAAAGGATCATAGCAAATACAATTACATTAATATTATTGGTACCTGCTAGGTGTGGAAAGTCATAGAAATTGATTTCATGGAAACAATTTTCCTCGAGAGGCTCGTTTCTGAGTCTCTTGGCCAAAAATTGAATCGCCAACCTTCTATCGTTGGGGTTAAATATGGGCGGCATCCCATTTCCAGCATCCACAGCAGGGGCAATGGGAGGGATATTTTCAGGGACCACCACCGTGGGATTCTCAGGCAGAACGTCATGAATGACCGTGGGAGCGTTCCCCATATTTTCAACGAGTTCCATTGAAGGGTCCTCAACAACCGGACTCTCGAGCAGAAAGTTATTTAAGCTTCCCAAAACCTCCCACATGGCACCACTACTTTCGGGACCGGAAGCATGTCTAGCATCAGGGACATTGAGATTGGAAACATATTCATCTAAGTAAAATATGTTTCCATTATGTTTTGCTGCGGGGTTTGCTTATGTACACGTTGGTTTGTTGGGTTGCTGTTATATCACAAAACTGTGCTTGCTTCCCGTGTTGGGATTGAACATTGTACTCTTGTTTCGAAATGGATGAAAAGAATCTGAAATGGCTATCACTGAGGCATAATAGTTTATTGAAGGAACTGAAACTTTTTGGGCTAATTTTATCTGACCTTTTCGTTTACTAAACATCAAAGTGGTAGGAAAATATGAGAGCGTAAAATCTGCTTTATTTTTGTGATGGATTCTGATGGCATTAAGTAAAATATGTTTCCATTATGTTCTGCTGCTGGGAATTTATTATTATTAATATTTTATTTTTGCTTATGTACGTGTTGGTATGTTGGGCTGTTGTTATATCACAAAACTGTGCTTGCTTCCCGTGTTGGGATTGAACCTTGTACTCTTGTTTCGAAATGGATGAAAAGAATCTGAAATGGCTATCCGCCAGTTCTGGTGTTTGATTCATCTTTGTTGTACTTGTACCTTTTTCCGAAGTGTCTTCTTGGTCATGCAATCTCTAGGTCTGATTCTTATCACTGCTTTTCTAAGATGTACAGTTTTGGCTCTTCATTATATCTGCAATGGAAAATGTTTGGCATCTGGATTCTTTGTGTGTCATTTTCGTCATGGTTTAATGCCAGTTCTTTGTCTATTATTTTTGTCATGGTTTAATTAGAGTTTATTGCCTAGTGTATTTTCTGAAATAAATTCCATTTGTCGTTCAACTTCCTCCATCTCACATGTCAACTCAAAGCTTGGTGTCCACTGCCTGATGTCGTCAAATTACTAGTATTTTCTATTTCCATATATTAACTGGAATCTCAACTATATATATTTCTTGTAGCCAAAATTATATAGTATATTTGTTTCAGCGTCAATGTCATAAATGTCAGTTTGGCCCGATGTGTTCTACTTGAAAAACCGGAAACTATTATGTTTTAAAGTTCTCAATCGAGGTGCATGAGGTTGATTTCAGAGGAAAGGAATGAACGACTGACTTGCATTGGATGGATTTGATCATATCTTGATGATCAGAATATATATCCTTAATTCTTCTATGTAGCATAATCTGCTGACAGTAATAATTTTTTGGCTTCGTAGTCTGAATTTTGCTGCTGCTTTTCATAGAAAGGCATTCTTGTTTATAGATAGAGACTTCTTCACATGCTTGTTTGACATCTTTCTTACTGAACTTTGTATAATTATTCTTGTTTTGATATTTGTATGAAACAATTGGGTTGAGTTATCTGGATAATCTATGGAAACTAGATGGAAGATTTTTATTTACAGGACAAGATCTCACTTAGAGCAAAAAGGTGTAGATTAAAATTTATATTTTCAATACTCAAAATTGAATTTCTCGTCCGCTATAACTAGAGACGGCAAGCTAGAAACATGAGCTTTTGGGGTGGCATAAATTTGTCGTAGACGAAGTAATTTTATCAAGTGGAAGGCAAGAAAATT